CGGTGTGTGCGAAAGTCGTTTTGGCTGCTAAGGTGCTCGACTGCGTCCTAGCCCAGCTCTAGACGTCACCGAGCGACCGCCTTGGACCACGACGCGCCTCGAGTTGTGTTGGGGTCTGGTGACAATCCGCCATATCCGGCGGCCAATCACATAATTGATTGGAACGAGCATGCACTGTGATTGGTGCAAGCGTGGCACTCTAATGATGCCTTTTTCCTCGCCGTGGCTCCTTGATGCTCCTGGTGCGCCCATGCCAAACACGGCACAACACCTCCGAATTGAGCCAACAGATATGAAGGTTGCGTTTGGCGCATGGTTCTGCATCGCGTGTTGAGCACTCGAATGTGGCACCCAACACGGTCGGCCCATGACTCCTCGTGCAATTCGTCAGTCGTCTACATTCTGGACCATCTCGCCAGTCGCACCACGCCCTCGCACATCCGGGTGGCACTCTTCTCGCAGGTGTACACAAAAAGAGGTTTTAGCGTGAGAAGAACGACCGGGGATTCAACGTTGTTGTATATCATGATGCCCACGACGGACAAGGTCGATCCACTTGTCGCGACGCACAAGCGAGTCGTTGACGATTGCGTCACCGAGCGCATTTCACATGCAATGCCGACACCGCGCGCACGAGGTTTATCTGCGCGCATCACACCACTAGCTCTGCCGGGAAGCGCCAAGAGGCAGAGAGACGTTGACCCAATACGATACCGTGCGCGCGAACGGCGGAGTAAATATCGCTTCAAGAGACACCGTCGGTCCCTGCAGAGGACCGTCGTTACTTGTAGTGCGACGACTTTCACCAAAGATGTGCTGCACACACAAACGTGCTTACGCGTTGCAATCTTGCCCGGTGATACTAGTTAAAATCCACATATACGAATCAACCTTGTAGCAAGTGGTTATGGCAGCGATGGGAAATTGGTGGGATGGGTATCTCTTCGTACGTTGAACGACGATCGCATGGCCCGATGCCGATTTCACAGCAAGATCTCAGCTGCTACAGTGCTCTGGATGCCATGGCGCGCTTCGATTTCTGCGTCGCTACATGTACACTGCTATTCGACGATCGTGCTGACTGTAGCGCCGCCCGCTCTTGAAGGAGCATTGCTTCGTCAGCCAAACGGGGATACCCACAACCGTTCGGTACCTGCTTGTCCGGATGGTATCCATACTACCTCGAGCCATCTTGCAATTTGTATGAGTCAGTCAGTACAGACGTGGCATTTCAACAACATCAGGCGGGTGTGACGCTCACCAGTCGACCAATCAGCCACGATCATGCACCACAAACGCATGTGATTGGTGCAGACGGTATCCAGAGTGAAGGTCGGATCGCAATTCTACCATGCCCGGGCCGTTTATGCCTCGCATGGACCAGGCCATCGACGCCGGAATGATAAATGGTCGAAAAGGTATTTGCTTTTA